AATTCTTAAGCATTGTACTGTACTGTGGAAAGATTATCAGCACAAATCAGCACAAAGTGCTGTTGCACTTTGTGGTGGAAACTGGCCATTGCACGAGCACTACTGCAAAGGGCCTTATTTTCTGTTTAGTGCTACAGGTTTTTCATTAATCTTTGAGCATTTTCCACATACAGCCTTAACCATTATTGTCACTGATGCAGCTGCACCTCTTTTGGAGAGAAATGCTCATTTTCCTGGCACGAAATACATGCATCTGTGGAGTTTATAAGGAGATTCCACCATGCATTGAAAGCGGGTATAAAGTTTGCCGTATTTAACACACAATTTGAACAGGGAAAGATCCTCACAAGAAACTTAATCCCATCCTTATGTATGAAATTAATTTATATAAATCTGCATGTGCACCTTCCGTATAAAAACTGTGGGAGTTTTATGAGGTATGGGATGCTCTGAGACTTTCCAGTAGGTGTTACTTGCTATAACAAATTACCATTATTATCCTGTGCATTTCTATTTCATAACATGTGTTTCATTGTTAGTCTTTTGAAAATAATAAAACAGATTAAACTAAACAAGAGCTGCCCAGGGATAATAACAAAGTCTATAAAAAGAGAAACTCTCCAATTATGGTTTACAATATTATTAAATCATAAGAGGCATGAAAAAAGGTTGAATGAGTCTTCATGTGCACAAGTGAATGAAAAGCACTGTATTAGAGCTGGGGCAGAGGGGGAGAGTGTTGCTGGTGATTATATACTGTAACTGGGTAGGTATAGAATTTGTCTGTGAGCCTGTGCTCTTGCAGCATAGACCCCTCTGACTGAGTGTGTGAGGATGAAGCCACTGAGTCCCACTCCATTTCCAGGCCCTCTCTGTGGGGAATTGCTTACCCAGAATTGATGTGTCCCTGATAACTTCTTTGGAGGACACCTGAGGGTACTGATAGAGGTTGCTTTTAAGAGACAGAATGATTTGCTTTCTTCTGGAGAGCTGTTGTACAGCCTTCACTCAGTGAACCGTCAACGGCTGCTGCCTGTGGAAGTTTTTTTCTGAGAGTGAAGCTGTGTAATTCCTGTTCTGAGAGTGGATGGTGGAGGAATGGTAGAAAAACAGCTGCAGGTGGCAAAGCAGGCCTATTCCACTGTTCTTGGAAAACATCCATCAGCTTAACAAAATCAAGAGATTTTTTATTTTGATCTCCTCCTGCATGGGCGTGAAGTTTGGGCAGTGCACTGCCTTGGGTGTGACATGCTGAGCCATGCATGCTGCAGCACTTGGACAAATAAACAGTGTTGAGTCTTGGACTGAATACGTGTTTCAGTGCAGCCTCTCTGCCTTGGTGGGACATGTGATCAATGCTGAGATTTCTGTAATCAGATTTTTATTTTGGCGATGGCTGCGAGGATGCTGTTCAGCTCTATTAGAAGATACCTGTCAATGTCACCTAGTATTGAGAGACTGCACTTTGATGTATATGCTCATCTCCTCCTTTCCCTGGGTCTTCTGAAGGCCTTTTCATTTGAAATGTCATTTGCCATTTCTCAAGAAGTTTAGCAGAATCTTTGCTTCCAGGGACTCTTCCAGCAGAGATGTTAAAGCAATGAAAACTCTTCTCCAAGTGTTTCATGGGTGGCTCCTCAGAGGAAAGACCCCCATGTCTGAGGTGGTTGTATCTCGTCTTTCAAGGGTCTCTGTTCCTAGGAGTGTTCTTACTTGCTGAGAGCAAATCCCAAATCTTTAGGATGCTGTTTGAAAACACATCTCTGTTTCGAGGAGCAGCCTGTTCATAAAGCCTGGCCAGCCCAAAGCATCTCCTCTCCTTGCTGTGTGCTCTGTGAAGGCCCTAAGACTTATCTTGCAAGTTGTGCTTTAGCTCAGACAGAGGTTATGATCCTCATTCAGAAATGACTACACCATACAATTTTCCCCATTTGTGGGGCAGTGTAAATATGGAAATACAAGGACTACACCACCCTCACCTCCCTTCAGTGTAGTACAGTTTTTGCTTGCCAGAACTTCTGTTTATGAACATTATGTTGGAGTAAGACCACTTCTTCCTTAATTTTGAGATTCTTACCTCTGTTTTACTTCCTTTGTTTGCTGAACCGTCTACTGTGTATAATTGCTGCATGCTGTTGCCAGTAAACAAGACTGACTCTCTCTGTTAGGCTATTAAAGATTAAGAGGGGTGAAGTAATTTTTATTTACCCATTCCCTTCTTGGCTCCCTTGCCCAGAAGTTCCTCCACAGTTCCTCTGCAGTGGAGCAAATTCCATAGTAGGCTGCCTTTTTTCCCCTATGGCTGTGTAAGCTGGGGAGCTTTGCAAAGTTCTTGTGACTTGGATTAGAGCTGTTTGAAGACCCAGATTTGCTCACCCGTTTGACATGCAATAAATTTAACCGCTGCTAATGTTTCAACATCATTCTGCTGGGATTGTTTCAGGATGAAAGAATGTTTCCTTCATTGCCATGTGGCCTAATTTCTTACGACAAAGAGCTTTAGCAGCAAAAAGCACTGGTGTGAATATAGCACCTGCACACACTCATGTTTAGTGTTCATGGACCACCAAAGATGGTATTTAAAACATACTCGCAGTCTGATTTTGCTGTTTAGTGCAAGAGTTACCTGAATAGTGTGGTATTAGGTTTGTTTTGTTCTGCTGTTTTTTATTTATTTAAAGAACACACAGGGGAACAGCCAAGCTGCGAGGCTGATGCTTTTACAGAGCTGTTTTCAATAATTTACATCAGGTAACTCACAGCTTACAAGCCTCATTGACTTGATGTTCACCCTAAGAAGGGGTGTGAAGGGCACACCCCACATTTGGGATAGGGGACCTGGTGGGGGTAGGAAGATGCCTTGCCTATAAAATTCTGCCAGCAGACCTGTGTTGCAGGATGGGAAATGATCAGACATGATCCATGGAGACTAATGATAGATTTTTCAAGAGTATTATCAGATGTCATGGGTTTAGTGATTGGTTCTCACAACGTGGCCAACTAAATGAGAATCTCTCCCATTTTGCTGCATGAATTCATGTCACCTGATATCCTGAGCACTTGTCCTCACCTGCCTGCATCTGCTTTCTCCAGAAATCAGGTTCCCAGATGACACTTTGGCATTTGAGGAGGAGTAGTGGACTGTGCTCCAGCTGATTTACAGCCAGCAGTGATTCATTTGTATAAAGAATGTCTCCTGCAGAGGGTCGCTGTCATTGTGCACATCTGCAGGTGCCTTGGAGTGAACTGTGGCTCCTTTAGGGGCAGGGTGGCTCTGTGCTGCCCCTTGCTCCCCTCAGCGTGCTGAAAACAAGATTGTGGCCTGGGGGTTCCACTGCTGCAGCATGTTTGCAGCTGAAGCTGTGGCTGGATGTCTGTTACTGCCATTTGTTGTGGTTTGTCATTCAGTGCTGGTAGAAATAAGGGAAAGTGATGGATGTTGCTGCCCTGGAGTGACTTGCAGGAGAAATGGGATAAAAAAAGAAAAACCTCCAACTCTTCATGTATTCTTGAATCACATAGACTGATGTCTTGTCAAAATGTAACTACGTCAACCCATACTTCAAAGGGAAAGGTCAAGTCATGCCAAAATCTCACGTTTTCACAAACTCTCTGGGTTTCATCTGTTGCCTCCACAAACACTCCAGTGGGAGCACAGCAGGAATGCACAAGTAAGACTCTTGGTCTGGTAAAATTGGATTAGCCTGGAAAATTCAACCCAGGACAGCTAGCACTTCCTTGCTTTGAATAAGAAATGTAGAGAGTTATTTATTAAAAAAAAAAAAAAACAAAAAAAAAACCCCAAAACGTTGTCTGGCTCTCAAAGACCTCTTCACACCTCCTCTCTTTCACAAAAAAACTAAGGTGTTTTTTATAGTAGCAACAGCTCAGTGGCCTTGCTATTTCATTGTGCTTGTCATGGGAGACCTGGAGTCTCTTAGTAACAGCAGGAAGGATTATTGACCCTATAGCATATTTACAACTGCCTGTAAAATATTTAGATTGTCTTCTTTTCACTGGTTATCTTGTTTAAAAAAAAGTCCTCCAACATTAGTTAAAGGACATTTTTCCAGATTCCTTGTTCATATATGCTGTCCTCCCTAGTTAGGCACCATGTGTACGTGTGTACATTTGTGTAGATACATATGTATTTGTCCAGATTTACAGATGTTGCTAGTACTTAAGAGAATTATCTTCAGCTGCATGTAAGGCAAAGCTTGTCAGCAAGCTGGCTGTAAAAAAACAGTGACCAGAAGAATGTGTTAATACACACTGTCAAACAAATGTTTGACATCTTGTTACATTTTATTTTTTTCTATGATTGCCACAAATAATGAACCGTAATTGTCTCACTGAGTCCAGGGTGATGTTAGCTAACTTATCTGTGCCATCAATGTCCTTATAAAAATGATGCAAACTATTAGACAAGCTTCTTTATGCCAGTAAAGCATTTAAATAAAGGCTTAACCTTCAGTGTGTGACACTATTTTGAAAGTTAAGTGGGAATAAACGCCCCTGTTATGCCAAGCAAATGCTCCAGCACCTTACCAAGTCCTTGTCTTGGCTGTTCCTGGGCAAAAGCATCTATTCTGGAGCCGAAAATAGCTACCCATATTGTAAAGCTGCCACGTGGCCAGCAGAGCACAGAAAGTGCCAACAGGGCAATGGGACAAGTGCCATGATGTTGGCCAGGGTGATTTGCTGCTAAGGAAGCACAGGCGTGGTCTCACTGCTGTAAACTCTGCTGGCAGGGCACAGGACTCTCCCATCTCTGTCAAGAAGGTTTCCAAACACAACCACATAATATAAAAATTGGGGAAATGGTTTCTCTTTAATCAAATAAAGCAGAAGCTTAGAGCAGTTTTCAGTAATTAGTTTAATTGCACTAACATTAGATGACTGCACATGGGGCAAAAGGCATAATTTAGAGTATTTGAAAGATGTCTTGCTACTAAAAGATCTCTCAGATCTAGCAATGGTTTGGTTTTGTTTTCTTACAGGTTGAACATATTGCTGGCTGGCATGAACCCCTTCTATTTCCACGCAGTGAATGTAATTTTACACTGTCTGGTGACTCTTGTGCTGATGTATACTTGTGACAAAGCTGTGTTCAAGGACTGTCGACTTGCTTTTGTCACGGCGCTCTTCTTTGCTGTGCATCCCATTCACACCGAGGCTGTAAGTATGTGCAACCAAGGCTAAAAATAAATTCATTCTTTGAAATTTTAATTTTTTTTCAAGGAAACCTCTGAGTCATACAGAATGTGGTACTTGTGATTTTTTGCTGTGGGGGAGCAAAGGTGAGAATATACCCTATTAAAAAAATTTTTAGGAGTCATTAAGAAAAACGTGTATTCACACTTGCATTCTTTGTGTGCTGGAACTGAATTCTAAATGATGGTCCTAATAAGCCATTCTGGGAATAAATGGACAGTCATTAGCTTCCTGAAACCAAAGACCTCAGTGAGGCTGTGCTCTCCTGCTGGGATATTGTTGCATGCCTTCAGTCATCTCCTATACCCATCAATTTTAGTGAGGAAAAGTGAAGGTAGCATTAATGTGTATTCTGGAGGAGCTCTCTCAGACAGAGATGATGTGACCCATGGATTAATTTATTTCAGTTAAAAGAGAGGACAATCATCTTCAGAAAAAAAGTTGTTCACAAACACCAGCATAAGTTTACAGCACAACAGCTCATACTGGAAATCTTTCTGTTAATTGTAAGGAAATATTTAAAGACATAATCATTCCAAAACTGCAGTCTGTTAGCATGAGGAGACACTTGTGTAGCTAAAAGGAGTTTTTCTGTCTTTGAGAAGGAAAGGTACTGTCCAGCTCTCCACACTATAGAAAAGAAATGCTCTCATTAGCTGAGATACCACTGACATCACACTGCTCTCATTCCAAGCCTTTGTAAATGAGGGGAGGGAAAAAGCTGCTGGGGCTGAGAACTTTAGAGGAGAGATTACCTTAATAACAAAAAGCCACAAGCTTTGGAGTTACTCCCTGTGCTGTGTTGTGTGAACTAATCAGCTATGCTCCTTTTGATAATACAGATTTATATTTTAAGGGAGGTTTTAGAAGAGGCACTCTTGGAATTTATTTTTGTCTGGGTCAGAACTTTAAAAGGTTAAAATAAATGCCAGAGCTCTGAATATAACTTAATTATGTAATCTCAAAAGGGGTGAAATTTCAAAGGGCCTTTTATCCGCTTTATGTGATTTTTAGATCCTTATGAAATAGGATATTGAAGTAACTGTAAAAAAGAATGTTTATGCATTTTTCTTCAGTATTCCCTTTTTTTATAAAAAGATTTTGTTCATTAATCTGTAGAAAGAAACTCTTGCAAACTCAGATTGTTTAGGAGCAACAAATTCTGTAACTCTATCTCTTTTTGGTGGTAAAGTTCATTTAAATATTACTTATATAGCAAGTAATTTTCTTTAACAAATTGAAGTACTGGGAGTTGGATGCATTTCTCATCTAAGCCTTATTATAAAAAATTAAAACATCCTTAAAACTTGCATTTTCTATGTAACTTTATTAATACTTTATGAAGTAAAGAATGACTTTACTGTTGGCTTACTCATTTGTTTTGCCAAGCTAGAAATGCAGCAGACAAAACTGCATATCCTACACTATCCAAGTAATATTTTGGTATGCTGAGGGAGGATAACACTGAAAGATCAAAAGCCTAAAATAGTAGCAGTGAGCTTGGATTGTTGAGGCAGTCACTGAGTGTTTTTACATTTTTGGATGTGTTTTTACACCTGTGTGTCTCCTTTCCTTTCAGGTAACAGGTATAGTAGGCAGAGCAGATGTCCTTGCCTGTCTACTCTTTCTGTTGGCTTTTCTCTCCTATAATAGGTACGTGATAACATCCTGAGATTCTTTAGTCTGAGGAGGGTTTGATGGTTGTTGGCAGAGGTACTTCCCACAGCTCTGCTGTGTGAAAGTGTCCTGGCCCCTGCTTGCAGCCATGGTGATGCTTAGGAGAACAAAAAAAATCCACAAAACCAGAAGTCAACAGCGACAATCCCTCTTCCACTGACATTACAGCTGACCATACACCAGAGGAGATGTATGTTTGTAAAAATTACAAAGAAATGTTTTCAATGGAAGGCAAATTGTCTGTATGTAGAGTGAAGAGCAGACAGACACATGCCTGTCAAATGTGTGCTGTGGCTGTGAGACTCTGGAACACCTGGTCTGAGAGAGTTAAGGAGTGTGTCTAGACCATTACTCATCCTCTTCAGACGAAAACTTGGTACTGCTCGCTGCTCTGTGTTCTAAAACTGTAACGGAACAAGCATAGATGCAGAAACAGCTTATTTGGATGGGGTTTCTGCACCTTTTGCATTATTTGCAGTTTGAAATAACATTGTTTGCATTTGGAAATAGCACCATGTCATCACAGCCACAGGGAAAAACTGCTTATGTCTCTCTGGGGCTGTCTGCTACAAACCCACGATGCTGTTGTCTTCAGAAGGCTTCAAAAGTATGAAACATAGTGACCCCACAGGAATCTGCCTGTTTGATTTCAGTTCTTTCCTACCTTCTCCCCTGTGATAGGGGATCACTGCCCAGTCTGTTAATGATTAGGACACATCTCTGACTCCGGGGAGTGTGGGTGGGATGGAGGAATTTTTGCTTGCCTAGTGCTTTTTGTCCCATAAGGAGAATTAAGCATGTGTGTTCCACATGACAGAAAGTAGGTGTTTTTCTGTACTTACTCTGTCTTCCTCTGACTGTTTCAAGTCTACTTCGTTTTTCTGCTTGTCTTTGTTTCACCTCTTGTGTACCAAGAATTTGAGCAGCTCCCCATATTTGCGTCTTCCTTTCCTGTCCTATGGCCTTTCTTCATTTTAGATTGTTCATTTCTTAACATGTTCGTGTCAGCCATCTTAAGGCATTAAGGAAAACTGTCTCCGTATTTGTGTGACTGTAGTAAACATGAAAGTGACAGAGAAGTTAAGATATTTTATGCAAATTCTGTTTTTCAGGAGTGTGGATCAGCTTTATGTTGGGGAACATTTCCCTCCCACTGCTTCCCCATTCTTTTTGCTGCTTAGTTTATTCCTTGGGACATGTGCAATGCTGGTTAAAGAAACTGGAGTCACTGTGTTTGGTGTGTGCTTGGTTTATGACTTCTTTTCCCTCTCCTACAATGGACTCAAATTGTAAGTAACTTGTTATGCTCACGATGCTTTTCAGGTGTTTTCATCTGTTAGTCTAAAATATGTATTATTATGATATACAGCACTGGTGGAGATGAACTTGCCTTGCTGAATTAGATGGTACACATTTGACAGATTTGGAAGGGCCCATGATTTCATTCTGTGTGATTTTTTAAATTTTTTTTTAAAAATTTTTTATTACTCTCTTGCTGCCTGATAACTTTTATTGGGTGAATCGACCAGATGTGAAGAACTGATCCCTAAAATGCTGAATTCACCCTGGCAAGACTAACATTTATTTTTAGAATGGGAGTTCTGATTGAAGCATCAACATCTTAAAATTTCTCTGGCTTAACTCCTTCCATTCACAATGTCTGCTTGATTATTCAGTCACAATGCCATGGGTTTAGAAATATTGTATGATGTTTAGTAATAAAACCAGGTTTGATATTTTTTCTGTCCTTTCAGAATAGAAAAAGAGGGAAAATACCCATCTAATTCTGTTGGAATAATTAGCAACTCTCAGAAGTCACTGGAGAAAAATTGAATACTTTGAAGTTTGTACTCTTCATCCACTTAGTGTCACAAATAACTATGTTATTTTCCATCTCCATTCAAAGTCAGAAGTCTTGTTATTTTAGAAGCTGTTTTTTATCTGTTTCTTTCCCAAAGCATCCTGGTACAGATCTGTGAGTGAATCTAAGAGCTCACTGTTACTGAGAATTGGAGGTCTCGCTCCTCATATCATTTCTTGTGTTTCCACTGGTGCTGCCCCACCAGCTCTGGAACCTGTCATGCCCTGCATGAGCTTGCGTGTATTTGGGTTATAAAAAGGACACTGCATTTTTGTTTCTGCAGTGAATTAAATGAACAGAGCTGGTACAAGGCAAGAGCAGCAACTGCAGGGAGGAGAAGGGAGACTCTCAGGAGCATCCTGGCTTCCCTTCCTTTGTGGCCCTTTCCCTAGGCTCTAATGGGGACAGACCACGTTTCAGACCTGCCCTCTGGCAGCAATAGCAATCAGCAGGCAGGTACAATGGATCGGCAGGGGATTCCTCCTCTTTTCACTGGATAAGTAGTTCTTAATGGTGTGACTGGTGGGCAAGTAGCCAGGGAGATTTCTGGGGACTGACAGCCAGCTTGCTTGTTAACACTTGCATTTACACCCTGACAGGCGTGTTTCAGGAGCTGCCTGGCTAAAGGGAGCACAACTGTTAATTAACTGAAGGAAAATCTGTGCCTTCCTCCTCCCTCCTTTCCTCAGTCTCCCCCTTCCACAGCCCACATTCCAGGGGGCCTCTTCAAGCTGCTTTTTTGTTTCAGTGGCGGCCAGTTGCCCAGATGTGGTACTATTTAGCTTCTAGGAATGAAACTCTTCAGTCCAGATGTGCTGTATTTTCATATCTCTTCTCGTTGCACGTATTGTGCAATTATCTCTCTGTTCATGATGCTCAAGATTTTATGACTGCCTTTTACTTTAAGGGGCAGCAGAAAACAAACAGCCTTCTGTGTGCTGCTGAAAACTTACCTGCTCCTTCTTCCAACCTGTACAGATTTGTTTTCTGTTTAAAAGTGGTGGAACATCATTTGTTTTCTGGAGCAAAAAATTAGGAGTGACACCACGGTGCTTCCCATCGTAACAGAGGTCCAGAGAAGAGCTTGATAGAGGAGTGCTCATCTTCTGTTGCTATCAAGTCTCTAGATCTAGTTGGGAACTAATGAATGCTGTCCTCCCAGCACACAAAGGCTTTGTTTTGGATTAAAGAAATGCTGTCTGCTGTTGTTTGATCTCGTGTTGTGCCGATTTCATAATGCTCAACCTTCTGATAACTAATAGCGTGAAGAATAAAAGTCCTTCAACCCTTTTCTTTCCCCTTTCCCTTCTTTTCCTCCCTTTTCTCAGGAGAAACGGGGGCATCCACCAGAGGCCTGCCCGGCCGCCGGTGCCCTCCCTGTGTGGCTCTCCGCGGGTGCCGCTGTCCGGCCGGGAGAACGGGAAGCAGCGCTTTGCTCACCGGGGCGCCTGGAGCTCCTGCCAGCCCGCATCGCCCCAGGAGCAGCCCAGCGAGGCCCTGGCCGTGCCCAGCAGAGCCATCTGGGCCATCCGCAGGTACTGCTGCCAGCTCCTGCTCCCTTCCAGTGCATTTTGCAGCTGCCTTAAAATGTCCCACTCATTCACTTTGTTTTAGCCGTTTTTTTATCCTGAAAGTGCTGTAATTTTTCTTGTGCTACTGGAGAGGGAAGAGAGGAGAAGGTGGAAAGAGGGTTAAGAGAGAAAGGAGAAGAATATCTGAGGAGTGTTAGTGTTTTGGTTTTCTTTGATCCTTGTATTTGTCTCTGTTTTCCCTGATGGATAGTGTCATAGAATTGTTAAGGTTGGAAAAGACCTCTGAGATTATCAAGTCCAAGCATTACCTCAGCACTGCCAAGCCCGCTACTAAACGGTGTCCCTGAATGCCACATCTGCACATATTTTAAATGCCTTCAGTGATGGTGACTCCAGTGCTTCCCTAGGCAGTCTGTTGTTGACAACCCTTTAAAGAAGATGTTCCTAATATCCAATTTAAAGCTTCCCTGGCACATCTTGAGGCCATTTCCTCTTGTCCTGTTGCTTGCTACTTGGGAGAGACTGATGCCCACAACATGGGGCAGGAGGTTATCAATATAAAAAACATCTCCTGTCTTGTTCCATCATCTTGTTCTTTGTTTTTCTTACTCCTTTCTTCCTATTGCTCCTTTCTCCCCTCCTTTGCTTTGTACTTTTTCCAGACACCCTCGCTCTGCCTCCGCTTTTGGGAACATCCCTTTCTTACACAAGGGGAAAGCCTCTTGTTTTCCAGCCTCTTCAGGAGAGGCTGCAGAAGCTGGAGAGCCTGTGCACGTGGGATGGCTTCAGAGTGAGCTCCTCCATGCTGCCAATTGGCATTTGCTTTTTGCCAGCTGCTTCTTCAAGTGTTGTGAAGGATTTCTGCACATGGCAAATCAAGCCCTGCATGTACATAGCTGCTTTCTGTTTGAAAAGGGGCTCTTATGGTGGTGTAAGCTGCTCAGCTGCTCTCTTCTCAAGTGACTGACTGTGTACAACACACTTGCAACAACTTGCTCTGTGAGGGTTAGCTGTGGGATGCCCAGAGTGGAGCTGGCTTGGTCCCAGTGGCTGAGAGGGAAGTGTGCCTGTGTGTCTGTGAGAGTTGTGCTGTTTGACATATTACATGATATGAAGTAGGAAGAACTCAAGACAATTTCTCTATTAAAATATATTCTGTATTAAAAAAAAAAGTAAATCCTTGCTATAGAAGAAAAAAAGAAAGAAAAAATGAAGTTGCTGTCAAATCCGTAAGATTAATTACGCAATTTTTCCTTGTAATTCACATTTGTCTGACTTGTGTAGGTCGACTTGCATGGCAAAAGGATGGGGGGAAAAAGCTTTAAATATTTCAGAAGCTCCAAAATTTGTGGAGAGATTTGGCACAGTGAAGTAGCTTCAGGTATCCTATTTAGTCTACCAGATTATTAATTGCAAGGTTTTAATTAGAATAAAGTAGTAGTGCACTGATCTATACTTTTAAATAATTGTAATGTGATCAAGTAGGTTTCTATTTAATAATAACTTATTATACATCTTCTTACTAGAGCCAACTGAAAAATGCAAGAAGATGTAATGGAGGAATTAAGGGAATTGGTCTAATTAGCAGTAACTGGAGCTAGTTATGTAAATTCTTGGTGCAGAGATATTTTTGTTCTTTATTGTCACTTGCTCTTATCTTCAGCTATCCAGTGAATATGTGGGTTGCAGTCCCAGTTGCCTTCAGGAGTAAGGAATGAGTTAGTCTGGAGGAAATGATAGCTTTTATTTATTGCAATTTTGGGGAATGTTGGCATATGCTACTGAAATGAGGTAACTAGAATCTCTTGTTGGTTTGATCCACCTCCCTGAGTTTTAAAACCTGAAAGAGGCTTGTGAGTTTATGTGCCTTTCCATATGATATAAATGGGGAAGGACAGACAGGAATTTTGATGTCAGGCTTGTACTTTGGGTAAGGCCTCAGTGCTTTCGCTGTGGCGTGGTATGTGTCCTGTTGAAAATCAGTATCAATGGCAATCGTCACTCATTCTCTTTTTCATGGTTTTTTTAAGCCACTGAAAACTGGAAGCTATGTTTTAACCTTTTTTTCATTTTTTAATTGGTTTTGGTTATACCATGTCCATGTGGTCCAGCCCATGAACACCTCCAAGCCACCTAATCGCTCTGAAGGTGTGATAGCTGGGGACTGCAGTCTAAGCTTCTTGAAAAACAAGACTGCATGATAGCTTGCATACTTTTGAAACTGAAATCTCTGTTTCTCTTTGGCGTCCTAGAAGCTCAGTTTTATTTTGTCTGCTGGTGGTGTAGACAATAGTCTGCTTTGGAGTAGACAATAATTGATTAATTAATTAATGCTGCTATTTTCCATATATATGAATGGTTGCATGAGTTTTTTTGTGCATTGTTTTTATTTATATATTTTACTTTAATTTTTTTGCTAGGCTACAGAAGAAGCAGGTGTAGCTGGAGCTGTGCCCAACAGCATCACTTTAATCTGTGTTGTATGTGTAAAAGAAAGTATGGGAGCTCACTACTCCTTAGCATTGTGGGAACCAGGCCCAAAACCCCATTGATCCAAAATCCAATGAAATCCTAAAGGCTATAGCAGGGATAAATGTGATCTAATGACTGAACTGGGGGCACTGTTGTTTCCTCTTACAGTAGCAAGAGAAAAAGATGGAAATTCTCTGCAGAATGTGGTGCATTCCAGGGATGTCTGCGCCAGCCCTAAGTTTGATAGACTATGAGGAAAAACATGTTGAGGTCATAACATATTTTCCCTGAGTCCCTGTGCAGTGTGCGTGGTCAGGGTTTGAGTTGAACCAGATGCTGTCCTTCAGCATGAAGGAAGAGCAGAGGGAGAAGTGGAGGAAAAGCACTGGCACACACAATGTGGGACTATATAGCAATTGCTTGGCTTTTCCTCACTTGCTGCTTCTATTTCCAATCCTTATGTAGCAATGATTTAATTTTTTTTTTCTTTTTTGACTAATATGATAGTATAGCACATTTCTGCTTAAACATGAAATTACTGTTCAAAAAGCAGAAGTCTCAGCTGAATTTCTGTTCCTTCCCCTGGCCACACAGTGCAATGTGACGTCCTAGATTTGTAACTGATATAGACAGAATCGTGTGACCAGTTTCCCAGATGTGGGCTTTCATGTGTGCAAACTTCACCTTTTCTTGAATTTGTTAGAGAGTGTTTGATAGGAAAGTGGGTATGAAGCTGCCTGGGTTATAAAAGTACAACGAAAACACTTTCTGTTAGATATGGTACAACTTTCTTTAAATTTTGGTAAGTTGTTCCTAGTTGCACTTGCACACCCTGGAGGTCAGTGGTGGTTGCTTTCATATGCAAAGCACAGCAGCAAAAAGCAATGTGTACCTCTGAGAAAAGCAGTAGGGAGTTAACTGTTATTTACGGTGTATGTTTGCTCCTGACCAAAATAAAGCAGAAAATCTGGATGCTTGTCTCTGGCCTGAAAGTTCAGCGAAATAGCAAGGAAGTGTTAAAGGGCTTTGCAAACACCAGTGCAAAAGCTGGTGGAGAAATTCCAGGGTAGTTTGAGATTGTCCGTGGTGAAAAAGGTCTGGGAGCCTAGCATTCAAAATGCTTTTCTTCTTTAGGAAAGCAAAATGAGTAATCTGGAACATTAAGCAATAGAGCCAGCCTAGGCTTTTGCCTTCCTCTCTCACTGGTGATGTCCTCAAGGTTGTGAGATTTTACAAATAAAGGATCAAGTCCCTAGTCTACGATGCTCTGAGCAAAGGTTGGTATGGATTGCCTCTGTGTGAAAGCAGAGAAAAGGAAGTGCTGCATTGTCACTGGCTATAGGCTGATATCTTTTTTTTTTTTTCTTAATTGATACTTAAAATTGAATTGAGAGTAGGACAATGCAAGTTTCCTCCCAAAGGCAAGTAGAGCCCTGAGTCCCAAGGCCTAGGGAGGCACAGTGTATGCTGAAAGATAGCAGATTAGCTAAGTGTCGTTGCTATCCTGGGATCTGTGGGATGCTGCTTCTGTGGTGTTGCAAGAAGTTTTTAAAATTCTAGCAGGTTTGCTAAGGCTCTGCCATTCTTGCTATTTAGTAAGCTTAAGTTATGAATGAAGTTTGGCTGCCTCTGTGGAGGTGGATTGCAGAGGTGGATTTGGCCTGTGGTTTATTCTTCTCTGAACTCAGTTCTTAAGATGGTTTTTCCATTGTGAGTCTGAGCAATAGCTCTCTCTACTGATGTGTCTGTACAGTCTGTGTAGGAAATGCTGAGCGAATCTTTCTGAAGGCCATGAATTCCCCTGCAGTCAGTGACAATATTTATTGTCATGCACGGATGGTACCTGAGGCCACCAGAAGGCTCTGCTAGAGTCTAGAAACATGTAAGATGTGGGTGCCTCTATGCTTACACTTGGATTCAGCCAAGGATTTACACGCTCTGGTCTGCAACTGTCTTCCAGAGAACCCTTGTGTAATCTCGGGAAAATAATTAAATACATTTCTCTGTTCCCATGGCATGCTCTGGAAGATGAGGCACAGTAATGCATGCTGCTTCTCCACCTCCATTTGTGTGATGTGCTGGTTGTCTTCCATCCCCTTCCCAAAAAAGAAACAAAGCCAAGGATTCTCTCTTAGGCATGCTTGTGCCATTATGTGTCTTAATTTTTGAAATCTTCAAGTGCTGTTTCAGTACAAATAACTGAACTCATTGCTTGCAGGCTGAAGTTTAGTTAAGAGCAGCACTGCTTTGGTATGGTGATGACTAAAGTTGCATGCATGCAGAAAAAGACTTGTTTAGACCTCATTATGCTGCAAAAATATGCACTCGCCAGGTAAGAAAGATCTGCTTTAATTTTGGCCTTGTGTGTTTTTATTGTGACAGTCTTTAATTACACTATCATATAACTTCTTATTTTTTGCACAATCTCTCCGGGTTCATTGCCCAGAACGGATGGTGCTCACTTAATGAGTAACTATTCGATATTTTGTATTTTGTTTCTTTCTGGTCCAGAACATTGCCCTATGCCCTATTTACTTCATGTTATTCAAGTTCTGCTCTGAGACAGATTTACAACTTCTCAATAATTCCTCTGTGTACAGACTAACGAGTGCTGGTATTTCCTTGCAGTTTGTTACTTTGGTCCGTAATCTTCTAAAGTACTTTTGGCATAGTTTCTGGATGTGTAACTTCCTTACTATTTAGAACAAGCAAAGTGAATAACCAGAAATTTTGTAGTGGGGAGCCACATGGATGTTAAGAGTCAGATTCACCTCTGCATTTACTTCATGGGCATCTGCTGGTTGAGAAAGCAGACTACCTAGTGTGAACTGTAGACTGTGCTCTATAGGAGTCAGTCTTGAGAGATGAAGGACCTTTTCCTTTAGATATTTGCAGACAGAGGAGACAATGATATGATGTTCCCTTCCAGACTTGGAGAGGAATGAACTCGGCCCAGCATGTGCAGCTTCTTCTGGCAGCCTTTTCCTTCCTCTCTCCCCAGTTTGTTGTCTTGCCTCATCTGCTGCAGCCTGTCCTCATCTCATCTCTTGTTTGCTCTTCCTTAGTAATTTAATTGCTTCCAGTCTTTGGTCCTCAGGCTTTTCCTTTTGGATCTTGCTGCTTTCCTCAAGCGCTACTGTGTCGGTCTCACTCCCAAGGCCCCTCCTGTACTCCTGTCCCCAAAGTCCTTGCCAAGTCAATACAAGGGTCCTTGTAGTGCCTGTTGCATCCTCCACGTGCTCCCCACACCTCCCATCCCTTCAGTTCAATTTTCTGCTGTGGGTGCTTTGACCAGCATGGAGGCAAGGTCCCTCTGGATTCTTTCAGCTTTCAGCACTCACTGTTTTTGCTGATCTCCTCCTCCCCTCTGCATAGGTTTCTGCTCCATGGGCTGCAAACTCCAGTTTCTTTTTGACCTCATCTCTCCAGCTTTGGGGGCTCAGCTCTCCTCTGCCCTGTAGCGAACTTGGGAGTTTTCCCTGCGCTCACTGCCTGGGTTTGAGGAGGAGGGAGCGTGGAGAGCCAGGCAGGAGCCAGGAGCCTGCTCTGCTCTGGTGCTTGGGGTGGCATGGAGCCACATCTGAGCTCATTCTTGGCTTCCTTGTGACTGGAAAAGTAGGCACTTGTGCATGCACTTGTTTGAATAGAAGAGGGTTGGTTTTAAATTTGACACCCTTTGTTGGATCTGTGTTTCAGCCACCGTTCTGGATAGCACTTTTCTTGCAGTACAGAAAAACACCCCTCTTCCTCCTTTTAAGCACTTCCTAGAATGAAGGGGAAAGTAAATAATTTCTCCTGGACTATTTATATGTGACAGTACCAAGAGGCCCTGTTTATTTCATTAAGCAGCAAATAAACTAAGTAGTTTGCCTTCATGTACACTGAATGTCAGAATAAAGGGAC